CAAAATTAGCATTGTTAATATGAACTTCAATGCTTCTTACAGGCAGGTAAGAATCAATTCCATTTTCCACATTTTCTCCGACACCAAAACAATTCTGGAGCGTATCCAGCTGCAGATAGTGATTTACAGTATCAAAGGCAGCACTCAAATCAATGGCGACAACGGGTTACAACTTTTGGCGTTCAAAGTTCTGAATAATATCATTGTAGATCTTTAAAGTTTCTGTGCTGTAATTTGACCTGTAAGCACTCTGGCATGTTTGATGAAGCCTGTTCAACAACTTTAGATAAGAATGAAAGGTTGTTGACTGGACAATAGCTTTAACTTGCTCTAGGTACATCACAGTGATGGAATAGGGTCCAAGTTACAGTAGCTAGGGTTGGCGTTGAGTATTAGTTTACGAACTGTATGATACAACAGATAAGCAGAATGATGGTCAGAATGATGGTACAAGTAACTCGGCTGGTGTTTAAACTGGATAGTTCTCCAACTCGTGCCGAATATACGGGGGCATAGAGATAAGAACTTCTCTGAGACTAACATTGTATTTCGGAACAAGAGTAAGTCTGCAAGTAGAAATGTTACCCACAACGAAGGCATGGTCAAATGGAATAGTCATTTATCGACTAATTGATGTACATGGACATCAAAATTAGGCTGGAGTTTTGATTTTTTCATGGATTTCCCGCTCAAAATTAAGTTGATTGTATTGTTGACAAATCTTATCTACCACCGATAAGTGGGACTAAAATATTATACTTGCTGATAAAACATTTTAAGCTTATTGAACAACCATCGTACGAAAAGAAATGGCCTCTGACAAATGGTATGTATCTACGTTAATTTAATCAGAATGGGTCAAGTAAGAAAAGTTGAGCTCATCAATTCATCTTTTTGTACTTACTATGCACAACAGAGAACCATTTCGTCTGCTTACATTTGTAATCTTCACATAGTGTCGAACAAAATGTCCTGGACAAGATATACTGTAAATTTATTGTAAGTAGGATTGACCTGGCTCGAAATAATAATACAATAATGTGATAATTAAATATATATTCTTGATTAAATGTGGAGGTCTTGTAAATGTTAGACATAATTTGATAAAAAAAAAATATTATCTATTCATATTCAATGGCAATGAGTGTATTTGAAATGATAATCATACTTAGTGATGTTCCGGTTGTCGGCGACAATCTATTATCGGCCGTTGAAAGTCCACTAATCGATTCCCAATTGAAAGTTGGCGACATCGGCAAACAATATAAAAAGTCAATCATGTTGTTTTTTGTTCGTTTTGTGTTGATAATAAAACAAAAATCTGATAATAAATTAAACTTAACTGATTACACGATTTGGTGACTAAAACAATGAGATCCTGATAATTTGTCACACCTTTGATTAATTTTTCTCGAGGACAAGTCTTAGATTCGGCATAGAAACAAATGAGGCATGATTATTATTATAAATGGTATCGTAGTCACAGATTGCGCTGATTTGAGATATAGCAGACGACATTTCGGAGAGGTAGAGAAGAACAGCATAGATATGGCCTATTTGCAAAAACTCATGCTTCATCATTTCACGATTGAAATATGACACTTCTATTTGTAACAAAATAATAACAACTTCGCATGGAGATAAGACGACATTTGAGGTTAAATAAAGGCTACACTTCTGTTGTATTTATTTTTTGTATTAAAATTAACATTACACTTCAACTATACTACTGTATAACTTTTATTAAAAATACTTAATATAAAGTAAGACTTCTACATCGTGAAAAAAAAGTGCTAATATTCCATACATTGTTAAACTCGTATGCAATTTCGGTCCGTGGAGCAAAAACTGGTATGCAAATAATATGTAATTTTTTTCTTAGAGTGTTGACTTGCAGTGTAATTACCTGCATCAAACCTATCATAATTTGCAAAACAACTATGAAATTAATTTATAAAGCCTTTAATCATGTACATCTTCATTAAGTGTGGCGGGTTTCGATTATAAATCGGTTACATAATCGATTATTATTTTCTTCCGATTGCCCGTCACTAATCATACTCATTGAACTCGTATAGTTCAATTTTAGCACTGTGAACACGAGGCATCTTTCGCTACAGATACTCATAGTTCATTGCACAACTTCGTACATAGAAGATAATTATCGAAATTTAGACGTATAATACCGTCGTCACTTTCCGTCCGTCGTTTCATGAACCTCGTTGACCCGATAGAGACTGCGATTGTTAACTGATTTCGATCAAACTCAGTGTGCATGTATATATCGACATAATATCACAATTTTGGTATTAATAGGTTATTAAGGTTTTTGGATTGTTGCCTTTGACGTAGCAAAAACGTTTCTATTGTCTAGTAGACACGTGTGGGGCAATAGTTTTTACTTGATTAGAATTGTATGTGAACAGTGAGAAATCTTGGTCAATTTGATGACCCACGATACCCCTCAGTAATGTTGCGGGCACACGTGCAATCTTTGTGGCCGACGCGAATCATCGCGTTGCCGACAGGATGTATAATATCAAACCAGTTCGATTTCTGTCGCCGATTCTTTTATCGTCTGCAAGACATAGCGTCAATCAGATTCATTTAGCGTTCAATTGCATGATTATCGACACAGTGGACAACGACCGTTCGTGTACCTGCACTATTACTCTTCATGTTTACGCTATTATATATCAGGACTTTATATTCATGTATCAGTGAAATATATTTTGTATAATAGAATTGTCATTCAGCTAGACAGATTAAAAAAGCATCGTGTTTTATTTTGTTCATTGTATTATCTGTATCCAATTATGAAATCTTGATCAAGTTTGAAATTAACAATAATTTGACGGACTTTAAGTTTTTGACCTCGACTTGCAGAAGCCGAGTTAGGCACTGAACTTGACAATTCGGTTCAGATATCGCATGTTCACATGATGGAGTCAATAGTTCTTGATGAAACTTCTTTTTTTGATAAACGCCAGTGGACGTATGTACCTGACAAGCTATTTAATATATTTTGAAGGCATCAGTTGAATTCGCCAAGCAGCTTGTCGGAGTCATCCCATAGTATCGGATCAGTTCATAGTCAATGGAGAGGTTCAGCATTTGAATTACCACATAATATTGTCACAGATTCGTCACCACAGTTAATCATTGACTCAAAAGGTATGTTCCTAAAATATCTCTTATAAACTTTGAAGAATTCTGCCAAACGTATGAAGTTGGTAAATGTATTTGTTTTAGTACTGTTCCAGTAACATTAATTGATGGGCAATTCTTTTAACATGCCTTAACGTCCACCGTGGTTTTTACGCGGATGTGCTTTCAAGGCAGGGAAATCTCATGGCTTGTCTTATTACTGATGTAGGCAAGAATGTTAAGTCCCCCAGATAAGTCATTGACCATGTTACAGGCTGTTTATAAACTGAAGGCCACAAGAAACTTTACCACTTTAGAACTGAATTTAAACAAAAAATAAAGAGAAAATCCGAAACTTGTCCCCCCAATTTACACCATAACGGTGTAACGGATTATACCCGATCACTTTTCATTGTGGTGGTAAAATCTCTAAAGAGTGAAAATCACATGTTATATTTTATAAACGTTTTCAAAACAGTCATTTTGGTCCATTTTATCAAATATAATCCCCAAACTGATCAGTATAAAATTATATTTATATATATTAGATAAATAACACAATTATAGATTCCTATCCCTTCGTTTAATAATTGCAACGTTTCAATTCACATACAGGAATCTTTATCAAGCACAAAATAATAATGATATTCACATACAGGAATCTTTATCAAGCACAAAATAATAATGATATTCACATACAGGAATCTTTATCAAGCACAAAATAATAATGATATTCACATACAGGAATCTTTATCAAGCACAAAATAATAATGATATTCACATACAGGAATCTTTATCAAGCACAAAATAATAATGATATTCACATACAGGAATCTTTATCAAGCACAAAATAATAACCAATAATCATTATTATTTTGTGTTTGATTAAGATTCCTGTATGTGAATTGAAACGTTGCAAAAATTATAAGAAGGAGTAGTATATCCATATAAGTGTTCTTATTTATTTAATGTTCTATCTACTTCTAAATGTCATTTACAGATTATATATATTTTGACGAGGTTGGTAAAAGTTTATTTGAGCTCCTGCCAAAATCTCATATCATCTTTTTTACGTCTGATATCGCGAAATTATCGCAAAGGTATACTGGTATAGGAAAAATGCCATATCGTATCGTCCGGTTTTTTTCTCATATCGATTTTTTTTTTCGATAATATCGTCTTATCGCGTAACTTTAGCTATCCCTCCTGACTTTATCAGACGACTAACTTTTTTGTGCGTCGGAGAGTATTCGCCTGGATTGAAGCTCACGCGCTACTAATGTGAATGATATTGGATTTGCAGTGGTTTTCAATTTGCATTGTAAAGTTGACAGCCCAGTTTTTATATCTCACCTGACTTTGTGCAACTTTGATAACCGAAAACAATACGTTTGCCATTTGTTGTATAGGTTTCGTTGACTTATCAATCTGTTAAAAACATTTCAATCCAATCATTTATATTATGTTGTTTTTTATTTTATTTTTCTCATTAGTTGATTTCTTGCAACTGGATATTAATAATTACTTTACCAAAAGACACAGCGTTGACAGTTTTTCAATATAAATCTTGATACAACAAAAAAAAATGTATAACAAAATAATATTGCAAAATAATAGAAGTCAAGAGAAAATAGACAATGCCCAGATACGCCGACACTCGTGGTTGGTAAAACGAAAAGTTTGCGTTTTCATTTGATAAAATATTTGGACCGATTGAGGGTCTTAAGACGCCTAAGAACATTCTGATTAAATCGCTCAAATCATTGGAGTTTTCATTTGGTTCTTGATTCGATTCGATTGTCATTTGCTATACATAGTCATTATCTCCAAAACTTTTATGGGACTATTTTGAAATGAAAGTGTATCTAGCTTTTTGTTTTTCTCTTGCAGCACCATTCTTGGCATCAAAGAGGTTTATATTGGCAGTACTGTGTTTCTTTTGTTGCTTATTGATCCAAGCCTCTAGATTTAATCTCAGTATAGCGATTGTATCAATGGTAGATCACAGTCAAGATGTAGTAAATATAACTCATACTAGGGCACTGAATGTCAATACTCACGAATGTTCCAACTTAGTAGAGGAGAGAGATTCGGTAAATTAACTACATATAACATTCAATATTTAATGTCCAGTTTTTTCAAGATGTTGTTTACACGACATATTGGATGTTTCTGTCTAAGATACTCCAATATGATCGATTATTTCAAAAATCTAAAATATACTTAATTTCATCAAGGGAAAGTTACAACCATTTTCCATTTCTTCAGATTCAAATACCATAACTATATTTCAAAGTGAATGAAAAATGATCAAATTTATAGAAGTATCTTAAAACCGAAGAAATATAAACCCGAAGAAAAAGGAGCGAGATGATCATTTTTGTGATTAAATGTTTATCCAAGATTTTCATTTCAGAAAGGGGAATTCGACTGGGACAAACAATTACAGGGCTTAATACTCGGAGCCTTCTTTTGGGGGTATTGTGTTCTACAGTCATCTTCCGGTTGGATATGTGAAAGATATGGTGTCAAACGAGTCCTTTCGGTAGCTTGCTCTATTACAACTATCATATGTTTAGTCAGTCCAATTTGTGCCAGAACAAGTCCTTATTTATTTATCTGCCTACGAATCGCTCTAGGACTTTTCCAGGTAATATGTTTATCATTCTGTTGTTCAGTGGTCGGGTCAATGAAGCATACAAAGACGTTTCATCCTTCTTTATCGGAAGTTAACAGTTGTACAAAAATAGATATACAATAGATCAAAGTAAGGAAACTTGAAGGAATTATTATTGAAGTCAATACCAATATCGACAAGTAATTGAAGGCAAGGAATACGTCTTTTATGCCGTAACATTAAAATGGCATGACTGTTAACTCAGAAGCAAATTTGAACACTTTGTAGCAAAAAAATCAAGAGGTCTGTCCCTACAATGTTATCATTCCACTAGTCTCAATCGGTTTTTGTTGACCTGAAATAAAATAAAATGAAGCGAGTTTAGTCTTTTATTTTTGTTTGAAATTTTTTCAGTGTCCTATATATCCGTCATTACAAGTGGTATTAACCAACTGGATTCCACCAAGTGAAAAAAGTCGAATTTTTGGTTTTACTTTCTCAGGTCAGACATTGTGGTGTTTTACCATTAAAGATGGATTTTTAGGACGTATTAGCCAGTTTTCGTCTTGTTCTCCGTCCGAATGTTGGAGACGTTTAATAAGTCTCTTTCCCCAATTCAACTCTAAATGCGTTTGGTTAACCTGGGAAATGTAAACCAAATTTTTTGAAACCTGTAGTTATGCATCAAAATGCGGCAAAAAAATATTAGTGTTTTTTTTTTTATCCCTGGGTAATTTTTGTAACTCTTATTTATTAATTGTTCCAAAGATTTAGGTCCTCATGTGGTTTTCTCTTTATTTTCGTAAATGACATTTGTTAAAATTACTCACATGCGCGAACACGTGCACAATAAAAGCATATCCATAATAATTTTAAAGCTTTTTTCATGATACAAATCTGAAATACTACTCACTTTGTAATATCTGTGATGGGAAGCAGGTAAACATTTCCTTTTGTTTTTTTTCTTTGTATGATCTAGGCTCTGCGCTCGGAGTGGCCGCTATGTTCCCCTTTGGTGGATTTCTATGTAAATACGGATTTGATGGCGGTTGGCCATCTGTATTTTATGTTATTGGTACGTAAATGACTGATAAAACTACTTGAGCTGTTTTTATATTTTAATTGAGCCAAAATATAATTGTGACTCTTTACAACATGTTTGAATAACTGAATGGTGGGTTTTCAGAATTAGGATATAAAATATTGTTTATAGTATCCGTATGTATATCGTGGACGCAATACAAACTTTTGGTTTCCTTTTCAAACGTCCGTGGCTTCTGAATTTTTATTATTACTGAAACTGAAACTTGACGACTTGATTACAATTAATACCATTTGTCATGTCTCAAAATCCTCTGATGAATATCTTTAACATTTCTTAATTTATTGAGCAATCTTGTCTGCCTTCAAAACTAGATCTTTTCCAAATCTTTTGACAATTGCCTTTTATATTATTCACCATATGAATTACTTACTTCGATTTATTATTAGGAATCTGCACATTTGTTTGGACAGTTGCATGGTATTTTTTTGCTTCTAACTCTCCTCAAGAGCATCCGACGATAACAGAAGCTGAACTGAAATACATTCAATTATCACTTGGTCTAGCCAACAAGAAAAATAAAAAGGTAGGTAGAGTTGAAAGATGTCAATTTATGACATATGCACTATTGGATAAGGTCAAGCTTAATTTTGGATGTAGTAATCTAAAATCAAATGTTAAGACACAACTCCAACCTTTTCTACCTTGAAGAGCATAGAATTATTAAAGATACTTTTTAAAGGTGAAATGGCTGTAAAAGGAGTTAATAAGATTAAATTATAATGAAATGGTTATAATTTTCTTAAAAACTCGTGAAATTGAGGGAAACGTTCTTTACTTAGCTTCAGAAAATGGTTATACCCTGGAAATCTATAATGACATCGACAGCAACCTGGGCTATAATAGTGACACATTTTTTGATGAACTATGGACATTATATGCTTGTTACTCAATTACCTACATATATGAAAGAGGTTTTGAAATTTGACATTCAATCGGTAAGTCTAAAATATTTATTCATTTTTATATTTTGAATTCTTAAAATGCTTAGATCATAGTTAGATCAAAAGAAACACATATTGTTATGTTTTAAGTCGAAAATCCAATTTAATTGTATTCTAACTTTCGAACGAATCATTCTATTTTTCCTTTCATTTCAGAATGGGATTTTCTCAATGCTACCGTTTTTAAGTTTATGGATCGTCTGGATGTTTGGTGGTGTTATCTCGGATTTTATGACAGCCAACCAGATATTGTCTGTTGTTAATACACGCAAACTTATGACAGCAGTGGGTAAATTTGATAAAATGCTTTTATACGGACAAATGTGGACGTATATTGCCGTTGCCCGTCTGATCGTCCACCATAGTTTTTGTCGAATTTTTATGAAATTTCTTGCATAGGATTATATACACAAGATCTGGGACAAGTGGGAAATTACGTATGGTTCGGAACATATTGACAGAGTTTCGAATGCAGGCAACAGTTAGTGTGCTGGGCAAAAATCGTTTCTTCGGATCCATAACCTTTGGCCTTTCCATAGTAATATCAATTGGCATTTGTCATTTAAATTCAGTTACTTTAAACCTTACAAATACGATTCAATTTTCTCGTGCTTTACAACGTTCCTTAAGCATTGGTGCACGATGTTTATCATATCTTACAGTTGTTTCCTCAGTCTCATATTCTCATCATTAGAGAACAATAACCTCCCTTGGTAGACCATACGTCGTCATTCAAATTATACAATCAAGAATCTCGTTGGGAGTAGTGATTGAAAATGGCGGCATTCATTGAATCATTGGAAACGGTTGTAGTTTCGCTTCAACCCCTTTCTCGATGCGCGATCGGTTTTAAATTTGACAGAACGGTTTTAACACGTGTCCTTAATATAAAAAGCAAATAAAAACTTTAACTCTTCCTTTCATCTTAAATTATTTTGAAAGGTTTCATGTGGGATTACCGGTAATGGCGAAATGGGAGGAGACATAACTCATTTGTGTAAACGTACTTGCTTTGTCAAATTTCTAATTCATGAGTCATTTCGAATAAATGTGGATATTTAGAGGTGTAAAGATTGTAGAAGATTTAAAAAAAAACAATTTTCTATATACTAACGTATCTCTTTGGCACTTTATGACTATTTTCCAACCGTGAACTTTGAGATATAGTTATTAGCAAGTAAATTTGGTACTAAAGTCTTGCATCTTCTAGTGATATCTTGCTAGAAGGAGTCTTTTTGGTCGAGAAGTAAATTTTCTACTAACCAATATCACAGACGAAAACATAAGATTGTGAAAGCAACGGTAAGATGTACACTGTTGCTAAAGGAACATGATATTGAACCAGCTCTAGATTCAATATATCACCGTCCGATTCTACCAACACACTCATATCTAAATGAAATGAGTGGAGTTTTACGTCCTATTGTAGACTAGCCTGTAGCACACAGGGCCTCGGTTTATTATCCCATCCGAACTACTAGACGCTTTTTGCATATCAGCCTCTCTTACCTGCATCACTGACAAGTGGGAACCGGGTTGAAAAATCCGAGGGTATTAACTCGACATAATCCGGGAATGAACCTTGGAACTTCAGGTTAGCGAGCAGGCGTCTAACTCACTGAGCAACCGCGGCGCCCACACTCATATCTAGAGCATCTTGTTCTTATTTTAAAGGTGCGATTGGTACTGCAGTGTTTTTAATAGGCTTAAGTTATATTGGATGTGATCAGCAAATTATCGCAGTTGCACTCGTAACAATTGCCGTTGCTGTAGAAGGATTTAGTTTGAGTGGATTTTTCATCAACCCTACTGATATTGCTCCAGCATATGCTGGTACAATTTTAGGCATATCAAATTCTTTGGCAACTTTGCCCGGAGTCATAGCACCATACGTAGTCGGAGTTCTCACACCTCATGTAAGTTATTTCTGTATTAATGTAGGACTATTCGAGTACCAATTCATGGTCAAAAAGGAATTTAGTCTCGAGGCATGTACCTGTCGACAAATTTCCAACAATGACTTGGACTGACTCCGAGCATTATGGAACCTTGCTTATGATGAATAACGTTATTCAGAATCTCAACTAATAACAATTAAAACTCATTTTATTAGCAATTATCATAAACAACTTTTTACTATCAAAATAATAACAATTTACTTAAAATTTAGTAATATTATCTACCAAAATCAAGTTCGGTAAAATAAATTCAACATAAGTGAACTTGCGTGAAGTCTAAAACCGCGGTTTTGACCTTGGGTTACTCTTATTAAACGCACTTTTACTCTATATCGTGATAACCCTTCATCTACTATAATTGAAATGAGGAATAAAACAAAACTTGATGCAGGCTATACAGTTAACAGAGGTCATGATCCTGTAGAAAAGCACCGCCAAAATAGATGAGCTTATCTCTTGTTGCAAAATAACACTACTTTTAAATATCTGATGGCAATGCCACGAGCCGTTGATTCCGCACTTAATAGCAGACAAACCGATATTCCCGTTATTGAAGCCTATTTACATCTCCCGAAACTACTAATAAGCTAGCGCCTCACATGTTGGGTATAGGTTAGCAGCTATCCATAGGATCTTTATACATATATTTTGTTCCGATGAGCCCAATTGATCAATCTCTCGACCAATCAAAATTAATGGAATTCTGCTATCTGAAGTGTTATTCTTATTTAACAAGGATTTTTCTGTATTTAATTTTAGGGGACAAGAGATGAATGGCAAGTATCATTTTACATTGCTGGTGGTATTTTTATTTCGGCAGCTGTATTTTATATTATTTTCGCTGAAGGTGAAATTCAGAAATGGGGTTATCCTCTGAGAATAGAAGAAGAAATTCCTTTATCTGACTTGCCATATAAAAAACCAGAAACGCTTAGAAAGGACCTTAACGCTTGAGTCCTGAATTAGAATTGTTTAAAATGTCATATGGTCATAAAGTCGCACACACGTGTATCAAATTATCCGCTGTAGAATTTATCTTTCGTGTTGAATATAGAAAGACATATCAAAGAAAAGTCTTAATCGAGTAATCGAATGATACGTGCAATTGCCATTTGAATTGGAAAATATGAGACCAAATCGCAAAGTGTATGTACACTTGTAACGTTTTTAACTAGAAAGATGGTTCATGTCAAAAGAGTCGTGTGGAAGACGATAATCATAATTGAACATGCATTTCTATGAAGCATCCTAATTCAAATCTTATACTGAGAAAGATTCCTTTGGCCTCACACGAAAAAAAAGATGAGTGAAAACAAAATCAAACGTACAATACAACCAACTCGCTGCATTTACAACTTCCATGATACAAGAAAGGGGCTATTACAGTCAAGGTATAAGACGAAGTTTGTAATAGCTTGACATGGTAAAGATGAGCATAGTTATGAGAACACAAGTCGGGCTAAATATAGTGAATATTTATTTTCAAGTTGAAATTCTTGCATCTACTTCAATGTAGAGTTCACTGCCACACCTGCCGCTATACCTACTAAGGGTGCTCCTGCACCTGCAAACGGGATCGCTACTACGGTAGCTCCGATACCTGCAGCAGTTGAGATGGCTGATTTAAAAATGTTTTTGACAATATTCGAACTGTTGTTGTCAGTTGATGATCTACTCGGTCGAGTCTCTCTTAACCGGTTCTCCTGTAAAAGAAAATTGTTATATTATTCAGCCATGGATTATATAGGATAATATGTGGTTTAAATGTTATCTAAGATGCAAAAAGCAGATATTATAGTACGTAAAGACTAAAACTACATATTATGCGATATCGGCTGGTGATTGACCAAAAGAATGTAAATCTTCAACTAATCAGGATATAATCGCTCGCAGAGTAACGGGAATACTGAAAGGGATTGTAAAGATGTTTTTATAAAATTTTATCTGATAATATCAAACTACACAATTGCCATTCTAAATCAAACGCTATGTTGAAGTGGAATTTTAAGAACCACTCCTTGAAGATTGGAATGGTGCAAAATTGATGCTTTCAGTGTCCGCGATACACATACATAATTTAGAAAACATCTTTACAATCCCTAAAATGATGTAAATTGCAATGCACTATATCAGAATAATCAGTATTTATAATAATATAATAATATATAAAATTATATCGCACCATCCATTTCTATGACTTATCAAATAATAGAATATAAAAAAAATCGTTCGCTCGTACCTTTTTTTTCAAGCAAGGACAGAAAATATTTTTGGTATGGCCTAAATGGTAAAATTTTCAACCACATTTACCATTTGACGCTAAAATACTTGCCTATTTCCAGAACAAGAAATGGTTTGAACAATAATTAACATTTAATTGACTACTTAAAGTCGTTTATCAGCCTCGTTTTCAGGCAGTTGAACATAATTTAAATTAAGAAGCTAGGGCAATGCAGTGTGGCGTTTTTAAGCCCATCTCACCAGTCTCCAAAATAAAATTCAGCCTGCAAGAGTTCCAAGTACATACCTTATTTGAAGGACCTGAAAATGTACAGAATCATTACATTATTTTTCATCTGCAACAAGAATTTTACATGGGATTTCCTTTCCAATATTCATCTGATATCATACCAGAGCATAATATCATATTTTTTTTTCATCAACCAACATCAGGACTTTATTCAAATATCTAGTATTTTCCAATTTTATTATTTTATAATGGTGTAGATCTCATAATTACAAGTCTTTTTCAAAATTTTATCATATCTCTTTAAGATTTTGAGCTTACATGCCTCAATGTTTTATTGCGTTCTTATTGCGTTCGTTAGCGATGCCTCAATGTTATTATTTTTCCCTGTTCATTAAGATAGCAGGACTTTCTCTTGGAACATGTTACCAAGAAACCCTTTTACATCTCACGGTTTATATTACCCTACTGAACCCCGTGCCGAAAGTAGTTTAATATGTCACTTGAACATACAGAAAACATACAATGAATAAATTTTTGGAGTGTCAAAATCTCTGAAATAAAAATTCAAAAAGAACTTGTAAGGCACCGTTCTAGTGCCGGAACCCCAAAGACTATGTAAAGAGTAGTCAGCATATTATGTCTCAGTCTTATGTATATGGGTTGAGAACTTTACTCACTGTCTTTGCTGATAATTTCTATACTCTGATTATGTCTTAGAATGAAGTATGCCCATAAATCAACACTGGTATCAACACAAAACAACAGCTTCTCTTCTTGGTTGTTTATTGAATATAGCACATAACCTGGGAAAATAAAAATACAAATAACCGGTTAGAAACTAAAAACGGTTATAACAGAAAATATTAAAATGCTTAAATCAACTGAAGCTCATTGAAGTATCATGACTGAACTGTATTCAGTGTTAAACTTCTGCCACGTTATCACAAAACTGTATGTCAACAATTGCTTAATAAAAAAAATTGGATGTTTCTCAACTACCAAATCTTAAGATGCAATATGATGTTTTTTCAAATAAATTCAGGTAGATCAAGTGTATTCATAGAAGTAAATGGATTATTTTAGAAATCTGTGAACTATGATTAAAATTGTTTTGATATAAAGCCTTTTATATGCCTTGCAAAATTGGGCAGTGAAAGGGAGTTGAGGTTTACGTTTACCTTCATTTGTATAACGTACACGTGCTTTAAGATGTGTCTGGGATGTTTTATAGAGAAGTTTATCGATAAGCCAGTATTCTTCTCTGTCTGTTAAAAATCTACTATCATTAGGCAGTTCTTTAATATTCAAGTCTTCAGGGTTACATACTGTCAAACCAAGTTTTAAACCATCACATTCACGGCCAGTGTTTATCTGCAGATCTATTTGCTCTCCAGGATATATATTTCGAGATGTAAAAACATAGGTATCTTGAGGATTACTTCGGCATCGCTCTGCTGATGTCCAAAGATGGTTAAGTGAAATATTTCCTCCGCATTTTTTATGAAATTTGATAGGTTTTAATTCTAATTGGTCTGGACGAGGTGTTGATATTGGCCGAGATGCGCTTGGTGTGGAGTTGACAGCAGATGGTTGACATTCGGTTTCTTTATTATGAAAGGTCGTATTTCCTGCAATAAAGACGTGGTCTGATCATTGACTAACACGGCATGTATGTTTTTATTTAAATCCAAATTTACTATATAAATTAGTTGCTTCTCATTATTTCGCGAATCCTTTGGATTTCGGGTTTCGATCTGCGTTTCGAATTGAAGGTATTTGGTTTGTTTATTCTATGCCTAGTGAAGTAACTAAAACTGAAGAAATATGTGCATCTCAACATGTGTTTGAATTGCCATGCATGACAATCCAACGGAGACGTTCTTTGAAATTTAGTATATGAACTGGTAAGCAAGTGACAAATTCTTTGAGGGATTCAAATATAAAGGAGATAGTTCCCACCTAAGACTTTAATTTCTTGTACTGATCCATTTAATCTAAAGTGAGCCCAAACTGGGCAGGAAACATCAACTGCCATTAAAAATATTTCTGTCTCGTTATTTATTGAATAAAAAACATCACCTGATAAATGAAAGAGAAAAGGTAACATAAATTTATTTATTTATTTGTACTTATTGTTTGTAGATTTTATGACATCATCAATATCTTCTTTGAGAGCAATTTAGAATCCTAAGAGACCATTAGGAAAAGTCAATTGAATCTTCAGTCGCCAGCCATGACTACTAGTTGATATACCACATGAGATAACAGACCGATAGTGAGGAAATTAACATAACGTATTCATTATTCCTTTGTGAAGATATTTTGATTACGTGAAAGTGTAAGAATGTGTTTCTGTCAGCAATTTGGACAATATTGTTTTACCTGGATCATCCAAGCAACAAAGGGGGAAATATAGATTTGGCTGCAACTAGATATCGAATATCTATTTGCAGACGCTCAGAGCTGAAAGATCGTTTGCCACTTCGTCCCAAAATAAAATTAAATGTTTAGGCTTTTTTTATATCTAATTTAGACTTGAATGACTTTAAATAAGAACATTTGGATAAAAAGTGTGGTAGAACAGAGAACATTTGGATAAAAAAAAAGGCTTCTTGTTGAGGGTATTTAGACAGAAGGTGAATTCTTTATGAGAACATTTGAATAGTATATGAACACATTTGTACAGAAGATAAATTATTTTTGGGAGCGTATGAGTACACATTACCTTCATTACGGAGGTACAACCGTAATATATCTCCTTTCGTCAACTTTTTGCAAAAGTTTTCTTTTATTACCCAATACTCTTCTCTTTCCGTTAAAAATCTGCTATCATCTGGTAGTTCATTTATAATGAGATTTGCTGGGTTACATGTAGTTAAACCAAATGATAAGCTATCAGACATCCTTGATTCTATTTGCACCACCACCTCTATTGCCTCTTCACATGATAATGGTCTTGAGCTAAAAACATCTATACTTTCATCTTTATGACCATTTCGTGTGGCTGTCATCTGATCAGGGGATAGGTTAATGTTTCTTCCATGGTTTGAATGAAATTTTAATGGCGGTGGTGCTCTATTGGTGATGTGATCAACTTTAAAGCAATAAAAGAAAAATGGCTAGAGGTGTGAATAAGCAAGATACAAATTCTGGTGCGGGAAACATTTTGTACCATTACAATATTCAATCAGACGTTTGTGGTTCTTTTAATTCTACTAAAACTAAGTGTTTTATGACGTCAGGTCTTACATGATACAAGCAAATTTGTGACGTCATAAAACACTTAGTTTTAGTGGAATTGCAGGAAACACAGACGTCTGATTGAAAAGCAGAATGGTGCAATTTGATGCTACCAGTGTCCCCGATAAGCACAAAAGCTTAGAAATCCTATTTAGAATCCCTTTAAATGGTGTCACATTCCATATAAGGGTCGACCCCAAGTTTCAAACATGAACGTAGAACTTTCCCAAACTTATGGCATTCATAACAAAGACACTCAAAAGCTTTTTCTAGCAGCATCGTTTTTACCTTTTCCCAGATCCCCATTTAAAACAACATTGTCGCCCACTTTGATATCAATATTTCTTTTATGACCTGAAATAAAAAAGAGAATGTTAATGTCTTTTAAAACTGAAAATCCATATACAGTATATTTTGAGGTCAAGTTTACAACCACGTTCTATGTAAAGGCTTAAATATCCAACCAACTGCGAACATACAGAAGCTGCCTCAGCAAAAAGCCAATGATATTGTTTCAAAAACATTATTTGTTATGGACAAATGACGGAAGATTAAATCATATGTAGGATAGTTCAAAGTATTAGAAAATATTAGAACTAGGAGTTCGGGCATTACACCCGAAATAGGTCAAGATCATACTTTCGTATTTCGCAACCCGATTTGTGCAACCTTTTTTTTTATTTTGTCCCGTCCGAAAAACTAGACACTTTCATCACGTCAACACCTATCAGTGATGCATCTCAGGGGATGACATGGTGAAAGTGTCTAGTTTTTCTTGCAATAATTAGCTAGTTAAAAGACTAACTTGATTTGAAGATATTATTGGAGTCACTCATTTCAAACTGGGAATTAGCACCGATCTCAACTTTTACATTGTCTTCAGATGATGCTGAAAGTAAATGATACATAAGTTATACAAATATGTCAATACATTAATACCTTTATGTGCCATTAAACTTCGGAAATATACTACGCGTTATAGTCCAAAAAGTACATCAAATAAAAGCACAGGTAAAAGGGCCTACCTTCATATCCACGGGTATTTCCAATGTGATCTGCTTCGTAATTCTGATCTGAAATAAGACCAAAAAAAATAGATAGATAGTTCTAGCATTATGAACTGGAAATCTGAAAATGGTTGAATCCGATTTAATTAACGGGATTCCTCTGTTTAGGACTACGCTGGTTTTGCCATGGACGGTCACTTTTAATGTGAGAATGATTTAACAGACTTATTGACACCCGCATCAAAATCGGCTTCAAACCTTTTGTTATATAGGGAAGAACTATAATAATGATATATAAATATACATAATTATAATATTTTTACCTTGAGAGATTGGAAACACTGCAGATCCAGATCATGCAGTGATAATAGTTTAAAGACATTACCAATGTATAAAACTTCATAAAAACATTGTATTCTGATAACTAACGTGGCGTAAAAATAATTTGGGTATATTATTACAAACAGTTTTATTTTCATGTACTTACTTCTTTCAATTCTATTGTTTTCGCGAACTTGTTTATAAGTTGCGTTCTCTTTCATTTTAACCGAAATCTTTTCGCCTGAAAAGAAAATTACCCTTTGTCCATACATATATGATACACAATCTATTTAAGTGTAAACGGACATGATATGTGATACGAAAAGTAGCTATGGATTATGTAAGTCGTTATTTGAGGGAGCTAATTAATAGTACTAACGTTACATAATGTAAATGTGTACACTTTAAACCTTTTTGAATTAGGAAAAAGGCAAGGTATTATTCTAGCAAGACCTCCCTATTTTTCTTTATCAGTTCATGCCCCAATCGAACGCGTAACATTAAAATTACATATATTCTTCATTTCTAGGTAGCATCCATCTATCTGTGACTATAAATGAGATATCACTAACCACATAAGATTAAAACTATCAAAAAGTCTGACATACCAGAAGAGCAGCTAGGAGTGTGTCCTGTATTTGAAGCACCGTCTATGATTAAAGAAAATACCACAACAGATTTTGTTAAATCATAACATCATACAATGTAAAAAAAAATCATTATAGCATTATAGCAATCCATCGTCTTATTTCCCCACCACAATATATCCAATGCCAGGATTTTCCAGACAATAATTCGGACAATAATCCTTGAAGACAAGGACATTTAGGACATTGAGGGAACATTTCTGAGTCTATGTATAGTATAGAGCATCGAATTAGTGATTTTCATCAAAAGTTGGTAACATTTTTTCTTGTGATGTGGCCTTTATGTGAATAATTATACATTGGCAAGCTTTCAGACAGATACAACAGTCCAACAGTGGCGGCTACAAAACTTTGGAATGGGAGGTTCGACTCTGGTCTGAAGGAATTATGAATCCTGGTAAAAACAAAATAAATTTAACAGTAGATTTTGTACAGTTACACATTATCAACATAACTTACTGCATTTTATAACGTTGCCTCTATCTCCCTTTTCAAACTTGGCATAGGCACTTAAATCGACATTCATTTGGAGACCTTGATCTACAACTGAAACATTAATGATACAACCTGTCATGTTATGGGTTCGTCATGTAGTGTTCTATGGTTGAAATGTCAGGATACCGGACAGTGTATAATTCATTTTAGTCTTCAGATCATTTACTTCTATAACTTTTAGAGAATTCCCTCAGGACTGTACCAAAGCCGGAATCTTTTTTACAAAATACTACCGCCGGCGAAAATTTCCTGGAGTGACTACGCTTACTCTATACTGTTTACATTTATTTTACCTAGATGAATATCAGTGGCGGAGCCAGGTTTACGTCCGAAGAGGGGCGAAATATCTGACATCGTCCGAATTTCTAACCTACTTAGAGATTTCTGCCGGAAAAAATTGCTTTCGGGGCTGCGAGGGGGGGAGGCTGCCCCTCTGCACCTGCTTTGGCTCCGCCACTGAAGAATAAATACTTACTACTAGCTTCGCCATTCTCTTGTGACATTCTATCAGAATCTCTTTCATGTTCCACAAATTGGTCATTTTCTTTGAGCACTAAAATACACTTACATAACATTAAAGAGACCTATATTTATATTTTGTTTCTTATTTTCTAAACGTATTTTATCGGAATTTAAGACTTTATTTTTTTGCAACACTAACATGTAAATTATAACAGTCGACCATATTAAGACTATGAAAGCTGAACATTATTATAAACCGAAATTTAGATACACCAACATAAAATATAACCCACAAAAATATGTATAGCTGAAATCGAGAATAATCAACAGGTTTTCAGACTAAAAAATTGTAGCATTCACTTACATCTTTTACACTCTCTAATGATTCGACTCCTCCCACTTGCACTTTTAACTCCAAGCGTTTTCAAATCATTGTCAGATAAATAGATCACATCCTCGAATCCTATCTGTAAGAAAATAACACAATCAGTAACAAGGGTTTGTATGGGCCATATATTAGGTATTAAATGGAAAGCTAAATGCTAACATGGTACGGTAAATTTGGGAAACTAAGTTAAATATAGAACATAAAGGAATAGACGAGTACTGATGGCTCCTGCTCTACACCCGATATGATCTGTCATTTCCCATATGCCATGGTACGATGTCTGTAAGTACGAAACAGCTTCACTAAAACGTCTTAAACACGTCTCATACATCTCTGTAAGTCAAAATGCATTGAAGATGAGTTCAACATAGGTTCAAAACAACTTATATTCCGTGGTTGAGATGTGATCTCGTCGTATATGATAGCTGATACAAAACTTATTCATAAACGAACGCCAATAAATTCGCCAAACGTTTACATAAGCCGGTCATGACTTTTAGGGGACAGGGTGTATCACAATAGTTTGTATCCACTTTTTATAAGTTATAAAAACGTTCTATATGTTGGTAAATATTGCGTTATGTATACGTGCAATTCTTACGCCAAAAATAAAATAAAAACCACTGCGTATGTCAACATTCTAAAGAAATTGGCTTGTGCAAGCAAAATCGCCACGGTGTGGCAGGGCCTTGATCATTTATTAACCATTAACATGAAAACTTACACCTTCAGCCCTGAAGTTATCTGCCACTTCTTCCGTATATAAATCCCCAAAAATTTTTTTGAACTCTGAAACAAACCACAGAATTTATGTTTAGACAGATTTTTTGTTACATGTCTTGTACAGATATCATCCATTTGTTAGTAGCGCAGATATGGCAGATTGACATAAAACGATGAATTAATGTTTTGATCATAAGTATATAGATGAAGAAAACCCACATATATAGGATGAAAGAAAATTTTTTAATGAATCTATTTTTAACTGATACGAACTCAATGTGGTGTGATGTGAAAGTAAAATTGAAATACAAAAATATTGTCGCAAACTGAATAAAAACCAAGAAAAACTCTGATCGAGTTGCTTCCCTTGTACATATTAGTAAGTAGATCATGAAAGAAAAGCATCGACTGTTGGAAATAAAAAAACAGTAAGCTAATGAGCTTTTTTTCTTAGACCCTTAATAGATGCTACAGTAAAAATTTGACACTGCTCTAAAAGCTAAGGACAGACTGGGCGAATTTTATTCGCCGGTACTTTGACCAAACTAATCGCTGCCGAATTCATTCGGCCGACATAGTGGACGCACTGGACGAATGACTGATTTGGTAACTCGTCTGCAAATTAAATTAAGCATGCGCACGACACTGCGAGGGGGGGGGGGGGGGCTGCCCCATTGCACTTGCTTTGGCTCCGCCACTGATGAATATATACTTACTACTAGCTTCGCCATTCTCTTGTGACATTCTATCAGAATCTCTTTCATGTTCCACAAATTGGTCATTTTCTTTGAGCACTAAAATACACTTACATAACATTAAACAGACCTATATTTACATTTTGTTTCGTATTTTCTAAACGTATTTTATCGGTATTTACGTCATTATCTGCGAATTTAAAAAATTTTTTTGCAACACTAACATGTAAATTATAACATTGTCGAAAACTTAATAAAAACCAAGAAAAACTCTGATCGAGTTGCTTCCCTTGTACATATTAGTAAGTAGATCATGAAAGAAAAGCATCGACAGTTGGAAAAAAAACAGTAGGCTAATGAGCTTTTTTTCTTAGACCCTAGTTAGATGCTACAATAAAAACTTGACACTGCTATAAAAGCTAAGGACAGGCTGGGCGAATTTTATTCGCCGGTACTTTGACCGAACTAACCGCACACAGTGGACGCACTGAACGAATGACTGAGATGGTAACTCGCCTGCAAATTAAATTAAGCATGCGCACAACGCTTAGTCACTTGATAAAAATATGGTGGAGTCCAGAAAGAAACGAAAAGTGGCTGTTGCATATCGTATAAGTTGGGCTTTGACTCCTATAATATAGTTAATTCTTCTTTCTTTTATTCACTCCAATTCACTGGAAGTAGCCATTTTATTTGTCATGTGACGCTTCAGGCCTCTGTGATTGTTTCAGTTACAAGAAAGTTCGCGATAGACTTCGGCCGAGTGGACACACTTGCGGCACGATTTAATGGCGATGCATATTCAGGCGAATAATATCAAACACGCTTGATGTTGGCGAATGGCTTCGGCCGATGATCGGGCGAATTTCGTGGCACTGGACACACTAGGCGTAGTTCGCTGGCGATCGACTCGTCCAAACCATTCGCCCAGTTTGTGCGAAGATTAAAAAATTGGAAAATTTCAAGTTACTTACCTCTGGTATTGCCATTTTTCATCCTATCAAAAATCCCCTCATGGTCTATTAGATCATATTCATATTGCATTTTTCGCATTACTAAAATATAAATTGCAATAGTTGAATACTCGCCATCTTGTAAATACTTTATTTTTCAAGTTCAAATAATGTTCAATTGCAGTGAGAAGTTGCCTTACTGCTTTCAAGTTCCAAATGAAAGATTAGACTATCGTCATTTCAACGAATAATACCAATATGATTTATCTAATGGTAAGAGAAATTGGGATTAAACCCTGAAATGTGCTGAAATCGAACTCTATCTGCTAGTAAAGAAACTATAAAGACGAAATGTTTGTTAGATCTGAAAATAGTAGTTTTCACTTACATCTTTTACATTCTATAATGATTCGACACCTCTCACTAGCACTTTCAATTCCAATCGTTTTCAAATCATTGTCAGATAAATAGATCACATCCTCGAAGCCTAACTGTAAGATACACAATCGGGTGAGGAATGGGTACTGATAAATGCATTGTAGTCATTTATTTTTCTAAAGCAAAATTCTTGCACGTATGATAAATTGAGGGACGTATTTTAATCTTAGTGCACATGCATACGATACATAGACTGGTTTAAATTGATAATAAACCACATACAAAGGATCATAAATTTTTGATATCATAACATCATCCAACCGCGACAATAAAATATTTTTGATCTTATATTATTAAGCATTTGCCTTTTTATCTAACATAAACCAAACTTACACCCTCGGCCGTTAATTCATCTGTCAACTTGACTGTATCTAATTCTCCAAAAATCCTTTTTATGTCTGAAATAAAACACAGAGTAAAATACACTGACTGTAATATTACTATATATGATATAAATAGATGTTACGCTACAAATAAATTTGTTTTTCTTTGTACAGATATCATCGATTTGTAAGCCGTGCAGATCAGGAAGAAATTAAATAATATTTCTTTATTTACCTCTATACGTTCTTTTATCATTAATGTCTGGTTTTGATATACCAATCCCTTATGAAAAGAAAAAAAAACCTTAAGCTATTTTAATACCTTAAGCGTATTTTTTCCCGTCGAATTAAGATCGCCAGCGAATTTTTACGCCCGATCAGGAAGGGGCACGCGTGGCGAATATCGTTCGGCTGAATTCTGCCGTCGATAACGTGGCAATCAATGTAACGTGTAACAATGATGCATATACAGGCATTCTGAAGTTCAACTGCTATCAACACAAAGTCCGATTGGTCTAAGAAATATCGATCGCTCGAAGCCGGACACGGGCACCTGAGCGAATTACATCACCAGCGTAAATAACTGGCCGAACATTTTTTATGCCGGCGATTCGTACAGACGTAAAGAATTGTCGTCGACATGAGTGGGCACACTTGTAAGCAATTTTAAAATTCGTCTCGATCGGCCAATTATATACGCTCGTCTGCCCACTGCATAAGTAGGCAAATATATTTTCTTCAGTCGAAATTACGTAGATACAATGTCGATATTCAATTGGTATTCACGTAATGGATTCATAAGTATACTCCTTATAATGACGTTGCATTGATTTGTACGTTTATATAACATAAATACAATTTCACCTGAGAAATTTCATCTTAAATTGTCAAAAATAAAAATTTTCGATAAGAAAATTACGTAATACTAATATGTCTACTGTTTTAACAATATAAATTCATTCTCATCATTTATTTTGTGAAGGTAATATTTCAAATCACAAATCGGTAAAATTTGACCTCATCAAGTAACTTGGTACTATTGTATGTTTTGTGATTGAACTGCAAAGTCCTATGTGACAATATCAACGATTAATTGAATTAGAAGTTAAAAAAAATGGCTTATAATATATAAGATTTGTTCAAATTGATGAGGATTACCTTGGTAACATTTTTGCTTCAGTTTACATTTATCTTTAATTCTGTATCCTCCATATTTCTCATAAAGTTCATCAGGTAATTGTCTCAGATCTTCAACACTCAGCTACAAAGATTGTCAATGGTAGAAGTAGTAATGGTTTGATTATTAAATGTGGCCCTTTTGTTTGAGTACCTAATTAAAGGGCATTCTGTTTTTTGCTCAAATTTATGGCATTTATACACCAAAATGTAGAGAAATTTGGATTTAAGCAATAAAGCTTAATATAGAGAAATATCTAAAGATTTCTGCTAGAATATCAGTTTTGAGGCCCAACACCAAAACTAGCATAAACTGCTTACTTAACAATAAGTACACTCCGTTTTTTAATCACCCCTTTTAAAACAAATTCAGTTTGATCAAGTAGATACATAGATGTAAAAATCATACTTAAAGATGGGTTTTCATAATTTTTTAGAGTCGAATTAAGCAAACTATTTGATTAATTGGTGTTGATAATGAATTATCATGTATTCGTAATAATATCGTTATGTTCTTATTGCATATAATTACGAATTTTAAATATCCATGTATTTACAGACAGTCTGCATAAACAAAAACATAGGACTTTTTGACCTTTCTTGATCGGTCACTCATTGGAATTCTGCTGGTATTCTCTTCTAAATTAGCTAATTATGAATTAATTATGGACATGTGAGACAAACTGGTATTTTTCCATGTCATTAGAACACCTCTACCTTCCATTCATATAAGTATTAGCATTTTAATTTTCATTAATGAAAATAAGGGTACCCATCTTCAAGAACTATTTTCAGGTATGAATTACGACGTTTTTCTTAATGTAAATTTTGCACACTATCCCTTTAATACATTATATTATTTCAATCATTTTTTATTTACTAGTCAATTATTTTTCAAATATTTATGACTGGTTTATAACTTACATCTTTCAATGCAGCATGCTGCGGGCTCAATTCGTCTAAATTCCTAGTAATATCCATCAATTATCGCATTGATTGCTACAATAACAACAAAACATATAACATTGCATTCTATACATTTTTTAAATATGTCTTGAAAAAAAAACTGAGGTATATTCGGTATTTAATACGTTTATTTGTAAATTTACTCTTTTGTTGGTCTTAATACAAAGCTAGAGAAGAAAATAGTCCTGTTTCGATTTAAAATTGAGTGTAATGTGAATATAAAGGAAGGAAGTTTTTAAATTTCGTTATGTATGTATACACACTACAACACATTTCATGTTTTCAAAACAAACACAATTCATCTTCATCTTCAATTCAAGAGAATCAATTTCCAGGAAATGTGGTTTTCACGTTATGAATCTCTCATTAATATCGAAAATGAAACTGGCTACTTATATCGGTTGACCAAGAAAAAACGATAAACACTTTATATTCTAGGATTATTCATAAAAGAATCAAAGCTAAGACCATGATATTTCTACCTCATAATTATACATATTTTCGACATTTTTACACCAAATTACAATTCCATAGATTGAATCACTGTGGAATAGTGGTCATTTCAAAATTCCTTGTCAAAAAATATAATACTTAAAGTTTTAACTGTACTTTCACATATAGAATTCGCATTGTCTTCTCAATTTTGAAATTCTGGTTATCTAATTCACAACATGAATGGTTTCAATCCAATCCAATGGTAAACTATGTGTTTCTCTAGCAGGTAAAATTTTTGTTGAAGCTTGAGGAACTGGAGGGGAAAAATAAAAGAGAAATGGGTTGACATACCACTTGACAAACCTGGATAGGGGATAATTTGCCACGGAGAGGGTCTTTAATGGCAGTTTTTCCTGAAATCTGCGTCCAATTTGTTCAATTAAAGAAGTGAAATTGCAAAGATCCCTTTCGGCATTATATTTTTGACAAGGAATTTTCAAAAAGACGGGTATTTAAAAGTCATTTAACCTATAAAGCTGTTTTTTGATGTCTTATATCCTGATAAATATAAGATCTAAATATTATGATCATAGATTTGATACTTTATGAATAGTCTCGAATTGAAAAGTGTTCGTGAGTCACCCGATAAATTCGTTTTATAACGTTTATAAGCACCCGACTAGGCACGAAAACCTATGTATACAAAACTGATACTGCGTATTTTATTGAAAAAACATCGAGGACACTTGTTAATAAATCAATATAAGTATTATTAAGTATTAATTAAAATAAAAAAATGTCTAAACGTTGTTAACCTATAATTCTGAAATTTACCTTACCTTTGCATTATGCTCTTATGGTTTTATGCTCACAACAGATTTCATGAAACCAAATGTTACCTAAATATTATACATATCCAGTGGTTTGTTTATTTCAATACCAACTTTAACACTGCTCTAGTGAATACAAATAATTTTCTGCATAAGTACGTAATAATACGTGACAGTATTGATTATAACGAATGTAGTCCGTGCTATTTCAAGAAATTTCCCTTCTTACACCCATTTTACATTAGTTTAACTTCATTCCCAATTACAACTAATGTTTGATGTAGATTTGGAATTTGATGTCCGAAATTGGATTATCTCGCAAATTATTTTGGACAATAATAATAACTGCGGGAGGATATTTCTAAAAATAGTCAATCTGTGAGCTGTCAATGTTAAGCGGATGTTGACAACTCGTAATGGTCTACTTTCAAGTGTAATACTTTTGAATTTTTGACAAAAAAAGGTTTTGGTCGGGCTTATATATATCTGAAGCTGTCCAACGATATTTTCCCAAAATTTTATAGAAGGTTGAATTTCATGACTGAACATGTTAAAGCAATTGAATTAGAGATGAGTTCTTTGTGGATTATTGCTATATCGAGTTCTTTCCCTTGTACATACATGTATTAGTAATAGTGCTTTGATCATGAAATAGACACATCCTAATTAAGTTTTCAAAGATAAGCATCATTGCAAAATGATGCAAAGTATAGGTCTTTTATCATAAAGCTCAAAGTGATAATCTTACTTCTGGTTCTTCTGCAGCTACGTTTATACACGGCTGAAATCTTAGATAATGGCGTCATTATATTTAATATGTGACCCGGCAGAACAAACTAAGTCACAGTGACCCATATCAAAATTCAAACTTAGGGGTCATAGCTTGATCAAATACAGCAGTGCTTCTTAACCCCAGTGAGTTCTTCTAAAGCTATTCCCCAAAATAATTCAGTCATGTTGAAATGACATCGATTTCAGTCGTAGATCATCTTGTTCAATTATCGTCCAATGCCTCCCATTTTCTCCCAGCTCTGATGATTTAAAAAATTCCCTTGTGCGTTTTTGCAATTGGAATGCAGTCAATGGCGTATATCTGACCATAAAATTTAAATATTATTCTGCTGTAACTACCAAAAATCGTGTTAGGTATGTATCCCATGGCTTCCTTATAACCACATTTTCCAAGGGAGGAGGCTTCCCTTTCTATCTAAAAAAAATGAAAGGAAAAGCTGAAAGGGACGCTTACGGTTGAAAACAAAATATTTTCCCAATATCCAGTTCAAGAGCGAGAGTGGGTGTTTGTTGATATTTGTACTAATTAAATTATATAGATGCTGGATTGTTGAACTCGCCAGTAGCTTTTATGTTTTTAGGATCAAATGTAACGTAAAAAAATCATAGTTTTGATAGTTCTATATAAGAATATATCATTAAAACATCGCCCAGTACATGTAACTAGTCACAATCGTCGACAAGCTAGGCTGGCTAGTATATACATTCAGTTCAATATAGCATGACAATATATCTTAAAATAGACTCAATAAACCAGTCTACACTCGATTTCTTTTCATATACCTTGTCTTGTTTATCATACGGTAGATATATAGCTATCTAGTTTACACTAGACAGTGAGTAATATCCTAAAAATAGAAATTGATTCACACATTAACCAGTCTATTGCCTTATTTGGCCATGTCTGTTATCAATCATCAAGCCATATAAGGCAATATCATGTCTTGTTGCTGACGTCAACCCCCAGATAGCTGATATCTCACAAGATAGGAATGTGTATTTAGGTATAAATACTGGCCTGTCTAGCTAGACAGGTATTACAAGACAAGTATCGATAGACTCGAGAGAAGTAACTTTTAAAGTTTCCTATACAAGTAAGTTGCTATGTATTTTAACATTTATTTAATGATATACTAGTTAATTTCATGTAACTGATTTTAATAACGCTGCGAACTCTATATCGAAGTAAATTGAGCGACTGTTGGTAGATAATATCTAGTCGGTGTAGGCCAAGTTTGGTGTTTCGCTACTTGAATTTTAAATGTTTTATCTTAATGTTCGTTGAGACGGAGGTGTATCATTTATATATAAGTATACGGGCGAATCTGTTGCACCATATCATAAAAGAAAAATCAATTTCAAATTTCAATTTGACTTTCTGTCATTTCTAAATATATAGACCATTACGCCGCGAATAGACGAGGTGAGGTGTACGGTGCGGGATAATTGATACAGAAGATAATTGAAGAAATGAGTACGTGGTGTACGGGTTCGAGCACGGTGCGGACACGGCTCGCTTTTTCTACTATATTCTTCTTTATCGATAATTCCGCAACGCACATTGCTTCGGACACCGTACCTCGTCTATTCGTGACTTTATGCTGCATAGTCTTCAGCATGTTCAGACATTCTGACATTGTTTAGCTTTATATAAGTTCGGATAAGTCTGAAGCATTAGTTGGTACTATATTTTGACAGTTTAATCGCCATGCAGGCTGCGATATATGACCTGTTTTAATTTCCCGATTTTAATCTTTTAACATAAACTGAAGCAGAATGTACGATTATTTCATAAAATAATTTCAGATCAATTAAACCCAAACTTCAGAATGGCAGTTGTTATTGATATTTTACCTACAAGCTATCTTGTTGGGCTTCCTGGTGAGAAAGTTCCCAAAAAAGTTTTAAAGGTTTGTTCTGTACTTATCTAACATTAAGATAAGTTTGTTCAGTCTTAGATTTGAAATCGATATCGTTCTAACTCTATATATCTAGTAAGGTTAATTTGGTTAGTTAGGATAGTGTATACTTGATCATTCTTAACTAGTTAAAGGGAGACAAGAACGTCATGTTGGCTTATCAAAAACAGAGACGTTGTCCATAATGTACTGCAAACACAATAAGCCAAAAGTTCGATGTTTACTGTTTGCTAATAGAGACAATCGGTTGCCAAGCACGATATGCCCATATTAAACATATTTTCAGTGTATCAAGGGCTGTAACTTAGGAAATATTCGTCGAATCTTCAAACGTAGATGTAAACCCACAAACAACCAAATTTTATCATATCAACGTATCAGAAATCATATCAAATTATATAATTATATGCATTTTATTGCCCAGTTTGGTAATTTTGACCAATCGAAACAAAGAAATGCATGCAAACACCCACGACATGCTCAAGCGTTGTTATATTGTAAGCAATGACAAAACCTTCTTGGCATTAATAAAGTGGATAATTATATAAACAGGAGTTTTTTAGAACCCTGTATTAAAATCACGTCCGATATCACCATGAATTGTAAGTAAAGGGAATATGTTAATTTTTCAGGAAGAAAATGAAACAGGTATTGCTGCTTTCAAGAAGATATTTTTTTCCGTTCTCAAAGTAAATATTAAAGGCAAATCGGTTTTACTTAGCAACTCATTAGATACCCCCGAAGAGGACACAGAACAGTTAAAACAGGTAATTTTATATGATTATAAATATGGATTTATGAAATTGGTTATAAAAACACTAACTACATATGGATTAGGAACATATAGAAATGATTTTTTTTAGCTACTGCTGAAAGTAAATAGATCCAGTTGGAAAGTTAATTGTATTTGCGATCCTATTGCAATATCTTGTGAATAAATATTCATTGAGTAAATGCCAAGTAACAACATTGATGTTTACTTTCTAGATGCTGTTTGAGGACTTTGACGTGGGGTCTCTTTATGTGGCCAATCAGTCCGTTCTGTCTCTATATGCTACTGGACACCAAGAGGGATTAGTTATTCGATCTTCAGAAACTCAAACGATTATAGCTCCAGTTGTTGATGGTAAGGATTTGATTTAAAACTCACACTGGACTATGCCGTATAGAACGGAATCATATGAAATCAATACTATGATTTTTTTAAAATTTAGCTTGAGCGTAGAAGACTCCATGGTACTAATTTAAATGACCAAGGTTTCCAAAAGATGTACAAACCATTCAAAGTATTTAACTAAGCATTATGTTAAACTGTAAAAGCGTCCAAATTGAGATGATATTTTAACTATAGAATTTATTTTTTAAGGTTATGTCGTAAAGAGTGATGTTATGATTCTCAATAATATGGGTAACCAGAATTTACTGAAATCGCTTAAAGGTTTGTAAACAATATAATTATTCCTTATAGCACAAAACTGTCTGTTTACCTTTGTTGTTATATAGAATTTTACCAATTAATTTTAATCGTAATAAAGATGAAACGGTTTATCATTGAAATTTTACATTTGAATTATGTGCACTTCTATTCCAGAATGACCCGAATGCCATTCAAATTTTTGCTGAAAATTTTTTTTAAAGCATATTTGTATCATTGTCCATATTTGTATCGACATAAGGACAAACTTGTACTACCATGACGAATTTTTTTCGATTCTCTCTAAACTTTTATCAAATAACCCAGATTATGTTTCAAATTTTGGGTAGTGAAATAATAATATTATTCTCTGAAAACTAAATACGAACACTGTTGTTTAATAAATAAGACGTATATTTTTAATTATCTAGAGTCAAAAGGAATTCATCACCATATCCATGATGTTGTGGAGAAGAGTTCTAAGAAGAGTTTACTATATAAAACTATTGTTTTAGCTGGAGGTCCTTATGATTCAGGTAGTTAATTTTCATTTTATTCTGTTCAGTACTTATTTTTTATTGGTATAAGCATGTTGATTATATTTATTAAATTCGTTTATGCTTTAAATATTTTTGCCTTATTTTCAATCAACCCGACTGATGACAATTTAATAATAGAAACATTTTCAAAACCCATACGTTAGCTCTCGCCAGTACCTTTTTTTTTTAATTTACAATTTTGACAGCCTGAAAGCGTATTTCCAACGTACTTGTTTTAGACGTACAGAAAGATTTCGGCAATATATCAATTCGTAATCTCCCAAAACTTCTACATCCAAGCACCTTGAGATCAGGGTTTGGGATGGATATTTCTTCGTGTGGGACACTCTCTTCTGCTGTCAACATCACAAGAACTGGTCTGTTATTTTAAATTCTTTACCTTAGATTTGAAAGAGAAACTTCAGAGAGCACTGGCTAAGTTAACTGACTGTACAGTGAAGGTTATTGCCGACTATGCTCAACCTGAGTTCCAGGCCTTCATCGGTGGATCTACGTTGGCTTCGTTGCCAGAATTCAAAAATATACTTATTAAACAAGCCGATTTTGAACCGAAAGTAGCTGCACCAAGACAGGATAATAAATCAAAACCTGTAGTAATAGATATGGGATCAAGAAACGTACATGTTGGTTATGCTGGTGATAGGAAACCATTACATTCACTTCAGGTTAGAAATGATTTTATATGATAGTTTGCAATCTTGACCCATTTAAAGCATACCAAATTACGTCTGGTTGTTACATGAAAATAACACATTACATGTAAGAACTATAAGTAGTCTCGTATGCCTTTTAAAGGTGAAAACAGTATTATTGATTAAGGAATATGTTAAAGCCACGAACAAATCGAGAACTAGATTTTTGCTATAAATGTCTAGTCTTAATACTCAATCAGTAACCAATCTTAACAGCTGTCCTTTCTTTTGGGTAAATCGTTCATCTCCCGTTGGACATTGAAACATATTAAAGGAATTGTAAAGAGATTTTCTAAATTTTGTATATGTACTGGTGGGGACACATCAATTTGCACCATTTCAATTTTCATTTCACTAAAATAAGCTTAATAATGCTAAGTATATTTTGTGAATAGTGACGTCATCAAACACGTATTTTTTGTAGAATTGTAGGAATTGGAGTAGTGCAAATTGATGCTAAAAGTGTCCACAATACACATAAAAATACACGTAGAAATATCCTAGCAAACTGAACATTATTTCAAACCGTTGGTTTTTGTAGATTGGAAATGTTGAAAATGTTCTTCGAAGTATATTCAATGATGAAATGAAAGTTGAAGCAGGAAAATCACAAGTATTGGTTTCTGTATCTGTTGCTACACCAGAAAAGGAAAAGGACGATATCGCCAAGGTAAAGTGCATTATAGTATTGATCTCCACCAACTGATTAAAATTATGCAGATTGTTTTTCTGTAGGTTACTAACCTTGCCATTCATGATCTGAGAAGATTTTTCTTATCGTAAAAGTTGTCATTATTTATGCTCAAAGTAGGCTGACAATACAAAAAAATCGTTGTACAGATCCTAACATTTGATTGGATGAATATTATACGACTCAGAACAGAAGATGCATAATAATTTCCGCAGATCAGATAGCGAGTGGAGTCAATAAAAAAAAGGTAATAAAAGAAACAAAATAAAAGGCAAAATAAAAAAAATGAGTCATATGAGGAGATCAATTTTTACACCAACAAAACTGCGAGCAAATAGTAGGCATCATGAGACGTAGACTTTTTCAATGCAACATATATGTAATTGCATTGGTTGCTTCCCTTGCAATTTATTTTATTCAGAGATGACATGATTTGTATTTGATTTAGATTTATATAAGGTATTTGAATATTAATAACATATTTCACTTAATTGTAGATACTATTCGAGAAATTGGGGGTATCAAGTTTATACATAGCAAATCAATCAGTATTGTCTTTATTCGCCACTGGGCATAAAGAGGGATTGCTAATTGATTCTACTGAATCACGAACCTGCATAGCACCCATAATAGATGGTATGTAAGAAATTTAACATTTAGGTATATCATATTCATTCGATATCAGATGTAGAGATTCAAAATCCATTTAAGGGTAAGAGTGGATGTCTAATTGTCTATTATTAAAATTCTGTTGGATTCAAACTTGGACACTCTAGTAGACTAACAAAAATAACATTTACCCAACTTACTACTGACTTCATTTCAAAATGGATGGATATGACAAACATAGTCTAATAGTTACATTTACTTATGTAAATCTTAAGTGAGGAAAAATGAATTATATACGTGTACACCATGCAATATACTTTCCACTAAATTTGAAATATTATTATCAACAGGTTATGTGGTTAAAAGTGGTGTTAAGGTGTTGAATGTTGGTCGTGATGGTTTATTAAATTCTTTAAACAGTAAGTAAATTGGCTTAATTCATCTTCATTGCCGGTAGCTAATGCTCTTTGATGTGGTTGTCTCAGGCAAATATCCACATGCTCACACAACAATATTATTACAGCAAAGATTAACGTGTTTTGGAAAATCTCATCATTCAAAAGTTTTCTATATGAGGATGTGCCTAGCATTCTATAGTTCACCTCTGTGCCTTTTATTGAGACTCATCCAAAACACTCAACCATGCAACTGTAGAAAGTCAAATTAACAAATTTCATTAACAAATCTCAATAACAAATCGTCACTTTATGACAGACTTCCTATTTGGATTTACAATTTCAAATTTCCACGTTTAGATGCAGATGGAATTCATCAGCAGGTAAACAATGTAATACAGGCCAGCTCAAAGAAAGAGATGTTATATGAAAATATTATTGTGGCTGGCGATGCTGTTGGATGTGGTATGTACTCCATTTTAAGACATTTTCATTAACGAATTCGAAATGAGTTTTACGTTTCTAGTTGCATTTAGCATTTATTGTACTCTGGACCATGGAAATCGCGTACTCTCCTTCAAAAACGCAAAATTATGCCCTTTTTTGTCCTAAATTGGGATTGGAATTTGGACGTTAAGTTACTAGAACAGCTGCCCTTTAGACAATATTTTTTCTTTTTTTCAGGATTTGGCGAAAAGCTTCAAAAGGAAATGACTAAATTCCACAGTAATGTCAACGTTTTAGATGCCTTTACCCAACCTGAATATCAAGCATGGATTGGTGGATCTATCCTGGCATCATTACCAGACTTCCAAACTATGTTAATTTCCAAACCAGATTACACGAAACAGGGTATTCAAGTTGTTCACGAAAAATGTAAATAAACTTTGTATTTTTAATGTTAACCACACAATTTAAATTATTCTCAGTGAAATTATCAAAATTTTACTTACAAAATGTCAAATAAATGCTTCTTTAAAATGGTATATTATTGGTTTCAAAGACAATTTGCTTATTTGAATTTGTACATAGTTTATTTTTATATATTTGTATATATCAGCTTGTTTTGTCTATGCGCTTCATTACTTGTAATAGTACTACAATCATATAACCCCAAACTTTTTTATCGAGTAATCATTTTTTGATTTTATGGAATACAGTTAAATTTTTTCTTTTTGTAAAATAGAAATTTCTCGTTTAAATGAAATTTATTAATTTCGTCATATAGAAAGTGATTCAAAACAGAAATGTTTCATGGTATATATTATTGTTTTATTTTCCTTGTTTGTTTGTATCCAGACATTGATGTAGTCTGTGTTACATACTTTTGTCAAATTGAAAGTCTACTTTGTTTTATCTTTGTTGAAACTGTGATGATTGTTTTATTATTTCTAAAAACATTCATAAATTGTTATTTTAAATCGTATTACTTTGTTGTCAGAAAATTAATAAAATGTTAATTGCAAATTTAGTTTTCATTTACTGATGTATCACACTGAATTAAATGCTGAAGTGAAATTTATAATGGTGATATAGAATATCATCTTTGTCTTCGCGTAACGAAATTTGCACACGTCATTAAGCTTGGCTGGCAATGGAAAGGAATACTTCAGAGAGGGGACATTTATGATAAATGTTCGGCCATAAATAAAATGTTCTTCTTAGAGCATTACAGGAAGCATATATGATCCGATTTTGATGAAACTTTGTATGCACATGTGTTGGTTAGGGACAGATATTTATATTTTTGCATTTTTTATGTTATTTCCTTTCAGTTACCACGTCCAATTCGGCTTGTAAACGCAATAGTCTTATTCTGATTCGATTTGGAGGAACCTTAGAATGGACATGCAGATTCGGTGGTATCTGAGACAAATTTGATTATCACAGTTTTGTTTAATTACCTTAGCCAAAAGACGTCCACATCGGCCTGTAAACGCGATATTGATATTTGTGATTTTTGATGAACGGTTATTGCCCTTGAGATCATCCAAATTGGTAAAGGGTTTCTGAATGATATAGTGGATCAGAATTGATCGGATTTGGACAAAACTTGGTAGATCTATGCTTATGTATAAATGTTATTGGAATAAAATAGATACAACCTGTTGGGAGTAACTAAATACATTTGAAAAAGTTGGATTATTTAACCCTCAAGTTTAGTTCTTGATATAACCTTTTTACCCATAAGCCTTAATAATATTAGTATGATGAGTATGGCCTAGATCCTAACTACACCACTGTTAAAACCGACTTTCGACGTTTGTCGATACATGTATATCAAATTTTACAGTCCAAATCAAGCATCAATATAGTACCCAGTCTTGCGTTTACTTAACGTTTATAGTATTATAGCATTACATTTCAAATAAACAGACTTCCAATACAGATATATCAAGTGATTAAGTCTCAATTTCACTGAAAATTGCCATCAATAAAACCCATGTCCAAATGATATTATGACATTATGGTGGCTTTTTATCAACACAATGGTAACCCATATTCTAATTCACATAAAACTTATTGGTAAAATTCTGTATATCGACCAAAGTCAATGACAGAAGATTTTATCTCCCTCAGATGTCTTTCACAAATCTTAATTGCGTAAATGTTTTGTAATAATCAGATCAGCTTGATAATTAATAAAATCTATATTTTTATTGAATCTGTGTTAAAACATTTATAATTATCAGATTATGTTGAAAGTATATCTGATTAATCTAAACTAGTGTCAACATTAATCATAATGTTATTCATTTGTTTGCTTAAATTCATATTTATATTATCAAACTTTTACATATAGCCCATATTTAGCGTGATCCTTCTTTCAACGGCCAGTAAAAATTCCGACCATCTAAGTTTCATCCAATTTCATTATCCTATGTAGTTTGTATGTGATAATTTCTACATCGCCTGATGCTAATAAATATGCTCTTATATCGCCTAAAGAAAGTAACAGATGGAAATATGAGATTCCGTAGAGGCAAGTGCTTAAAAAAGGTCGACAGATTTATATCGATACGGCACAAGCCTCTATCACCAGAAGCAAATCCGATTAATCCTGTTAAGTATCTATGACGGGTGTGGCATGCTTACTCTTCCAGACACCTAATTATGAATTACTTACTCACACGTGATTGATATACTTCCGCGTATGAAGAGTTCATTAGCTGCTACCAATGTTTCGCCAAAATGTTGTTTTGGATTTTGGGTTTCGTTTTGCGGTTCGGGTCGATAGTACTTGGTTTATTTATCCTTTTCATATACATACATGTAGTTAAAAAAATCATATATTTTCAAATAGCATGCAAGTTGTAACCAATATCTAAAGCACAATAGCTTTCAACGTGCGAAACACTGTAATTGTTATGTTTTAAATCCCCATCCCATTTAACAAGACGTTATAGGATGGATTTGGTTTAAACAGCATTTATTTTAAAACAATGTACAACTATACAAAATGAATTGGGCGATCAAGAGCAAGCATAAAGCTTACATAAGCCTGTTTCGACTGTAGATATATACAAATTTGTTTATGATAGGATGGGAATCGCCTTACCTAAAAAATGAACGGATTTCAAGAAGAATTTTGTACAGTAAATCAAGTGTAATAACATTATGTCATTACATTAAGGCTTGCCTTCATTGTTCTTTTCAATTACAAATAGTCCGAATATTACCTAAATTTATGATACATGTCAAGGAATAGACTTCAAATTCTTCCATCAGTACGTTTTGATAGTAATGATTAATAAGTAATTATAATTAATAATTAGTAATTATTTGCTTCTGTTTACCAAAAAAAAAAAACCACGAGACACTGATCAAGTCTTACCGGCACATTTCCGGAAAGACAGCGAGCAGTATGTGGGATTATTGAAACAGTAGAAAAATTAAGGAATCAGCTATGCGTTTGGAACATCAATCTATTCGATTCCGACTATGGTATAGAAAAATTCTACCCTGAATTTGTAACTCACTTTATAGGCGACGATTCACTACTATATTTTTGTAAAAAGAACAATGAACCACGTTGTCAGATTTTACTTTTTACGATAAAAGTAAGAATATTTCGGATTAATACCAATATAGATATGAGATTAATCAGATTATAATATATTATCTGTAATCCTCAACGACCAGTCTAAACGTTGACCATTGTCTAAATACCAAACAACTATCAATTTCAACGTATATTCTTACACAAACCATTATATTTTGTTGGAGTTATTTCAAAGAGATATTTCAGTTCACTTAAGGTGAGTACTCATATTTTACAGCTAGAAAAACCTTAAAAACAAAACTAAATTTATAATCAAATTTTGAGCCGAGAATTATGTATTGGCGACACTTTTTAAATAAGTCATTGCTTGAATTTGTTTTGAATTTGTCTGTCAAATCAAAATGATGATAAAAATGCATTCCCTTTTTCCGCTACACGGCTTCAGTATTTGCAAGTTAAAACCTTATCCTAATATGAATGATATAAATCGCCTTTAATTACCCTTTTTGGTCAGGGAGGTTAAATAGATGTTTTGCCTCTATATGATTGTATCAATTCAACAATTCATATTGTCAGCGTTGGTTTTATATGTCAGAACCTTATAAATAGGACTAATTAAGCTTGATAAACAAAATATTGGCGAACAGACTTAACTCGTTATACATAAGGCCAACGTCGTTAAAAGTGTTTACCACGATTACAGTGTCAAAGACAACAAACTATTATGCAAACTGCATTTGTGATAAATAAAGGAGCTTAATATAAAGTATACAATTCAGATTAAAATAGATCATTTCATGGAAACAATTTCAACATGGTTCATGTAGGTAGCATTTTATAGATTTTCTCTATGTGGTTTTTGACCAATTTTGTTCTTTGTGACAATTGCAATTAGTAGCCATTTTCTTAACCATAAATTAATCAATGGATATACTTATACCATCGATTTTCGTCCTAGGGGTAATTAACCTCGAGGGGATAATTTGGATATTTTTTGGGGGGTAATGAGACAATTATGTATTAAAGATGTTCTATTCAGGAAGGCAATATTCTCGGACATGAAAAATATTGCAGTGAAAACTTCAGTGAAAATCGCAAAAATTTGTAGGGGGGAGGAGTTATTGCAATCGATCAAAGATCCTAAAAGGGTTAATAGAACGATAGAAGTTGAAAACCTGACAACTGAATCCGATGTTCACTTTTATCATGACACCGAGGGTCTTTATAGCATTGTCCAGGCATGTTGATTTGCAAGGATTAATGCACTTAGGAGATCTTTCAGTGGAATTTGAAGTGAAAGTAAAGAAATGATTCAATGCTCTATAATAAAAATCCGTAAAAGCAAAACAATTCCGTTAATCAAAATCTCGTCCAAAGTATGGCAAAAATCGAGAGTAAAAGTAGTATATTAGTGGACTTCTCCAAAAAGAAGTACCATCAGGTGTTTCGAAAAGGGTAAGCATGTTCTGCTTCTGCGCGATACCCACCACTACTATACAGGTCAACATCATGACATAAAATCAAACCAATTTATGCCTGACCAAACAAGTAAGCCAAGATGCAAGATCTATCAACGTCTATTCGTAAGATTGAAGTTACGAGGTCGATTGTGATGTCATTGTAACTTTTTCTTATTGTTGTTTTGTTTCTCACACCCGAACCTCCATATTATACCCTACAATCCTGGCCCCGCTTTAATTAACCCTACGGTTTACATCGTTGAAAAGTAATCAAAAAGTAGTCAATCCTTGACATATGTTTTTCAATTCAGTTTCTCAAAACAATGTTGATTCCGTCAACCTATATCGTAGATTGATAAAAGTGACCATTGTTATAATTTTAGGTAATTACTCTATGAAGGGAGTATGCTATTTT